ACATTATTCATATCACTTCCAGCAATCATGTAACAAGTCGGGGACTATGCGCAAAACGACAATGGCGGGGAAATCGAAGGTGCGGCGGATTTTAGTTGAAACCGTACCTCACCGTAGTGCACAGTAAAGCGACACGCGGCTGGTGGGATCCGCGTTTCTAATAAAGCTGCTAGTTAGGATCAACAGCTCAACAATCCACACTCTCCTCCTAATGACTTCCCAAATCACCCACATGCTTGACCCGTTTCGGTGTGGCATGAACGTAATTGCCGTCGCGAAGTTGTACACCGTCAGTCGACGAATCCCAGGGGCCGTTTGCCACTTCACGTAGTGTTTTTCCGCCCTTTTTAAAACAGCAACAGTGCTTGTTAAAGGAATCAGGCCAGCACGCCTTATTTCGCTAGTCTAGATTTTAGACCAGCATGCGCAGGAATAGTTGCAGCTGCTACTGGTCCCGTCCCTGAACTATTCGCATAGCCAAGTTTCCAAATAGATCTAGAAGCTCATGAATCTGTTCGCGGACTTTTATGTTCAGATTCTTGATTGCAGCATGCCCCACAGTCATACAATTTCTGGAGCTTATCCTTCGTGAGTGACCAAAGTCGGGTTTACTGAGGTCAGCTGTCTTTTCGTGAGAAGTCCAGGCTGACGTAACGGTACGCAAGTTGCTGCCTCAACGTCCACGAAATTCCTTCATTAACGCTACACTCGACCTTGTCTATGCCTGTCATTTTACTGTACATAAACGCTATAGTACAACCAACCAGAAAACCAGCCCTACAGCTCCACTGTTCAAGTTGTATCGGATCTTCGTCTCGTGAACTTGCATCTTGCTCTCGAGGGTGACCCACTACGATAGTTTTGGGTTCACGAGTTAGCCTCAACTGAGTGGATTATGTCAGTAATGATAGATAAGTTTTTTCCATCTTACTCTTTTCCCCCATTCTATAAGTGCTAATTCAGTCATTTATTCCGAAACTTAGGCTTAGAACAAGGTTGGGCATGTCGTCCATTTCCAACTAATAGCTCACCTGCTTTCCTTTTTTACCTTACTGAGCCCCCGATGTCCTCTTTCGATTTCATCCAACTTTACCCACACCTAGAATATTCCTGATTTCCCAATTGTTTTAAGTGATCGGTAAAAGGCAACTTGGGCCCCATGGCTTCCGACGTGGGCTTACAGTTCAGTGCGAGGGTAGTTATTATGTTTGTCGCGTGCCAACTTGTCAGTAGTACATCTTTGGCCTGAAATGCTTGTCTGAGCTTTTCGATTTACTTGTGCTCTTCTGTAGAATTCGCGGAACCAACTATAAAAGTCCCCATGGTGTTCCTATCGACCTGCTTGATCGTTTACTTATCGTAGCAACTGAGCCCTACAGTGAGAAGGAAATTCAAGCCATCCTCAAGATCCGTTGTGAGGAGGAGGATGTTGACATAGCAGAAGATGCTTTGATTGTCCTTACTCGCATTGGAATGCAGACGTCTTTGCGTTACGCCATTCAGCTAATCACCACGGCAAGTTTGGTCTGCCGCCGTAGAAAGGTTCGTCACGTTTTGCGTAATTCACAACTTACTGGTCTTTCGAATCCTTTTCATCCCTTGATTGTTTCATCCACTTTCTAAGGGGAAAAATCTCTTCATTTCCTGCCTACCTTAAATCCATTTTTGTTGGTCTCAATCAGGGAGTGGAAGTGAGCAAAGAAGACGTACGCAAAGTGTACTCACTTTTCATGGACGAAGCAAGATCGACACTTTTCCTCAAGGAATATCAACAAGAATTCATGTTCAACGAACTGTCTGCTGAACCTATTGCTTCAGCTGTCCAGCCTACTGGTATGCTCGCCTTCTGTGCCTCTTTCTCTCTGTCCATAACTTGGAGGTCGGGCCTTAATCTGGTATTGAATTCGACCATACCAGCCAAAAGATGTTCTTTTCTCAGGTTTTAACCTAGATATGCGTGTGCTGTGCCATTTGAACTACATCAGGTCGATCTGTGAGGTGACTAACCACTAGAGTGAACTGGCAGTTGCACTAATTTCTCATTCCCTCACATCGTTCCGCACTCCGCCCTTGTTCCCATCCGCGGTGCCATGGTACACTGTTTGACGTAGGAGCCAAACGTTGCTAACCGCCCCTATTGACGAACGATACCAACCATAGGTAGTCGTCTCTAGAAAGCCAGTAAATTTACTT